CAGGAATTCTATCAAATAGTTGCATTTTGCTCACTACTTCAGTCATCCTCATGCCAGTCTAAGGGAAACAAAGTTCATTTACCACTGTTGCTTTTGGGTTTTTGGTAGACTTATGACACAGCAGTGTATCAGAATAACAGTGTGTGCTGGCTAGTGACAGTGAAGTGACACATTCTGCTTCCAGAGTTATGTACTTCAATATAATTAAGGCTTCAAATAATAAACAAATGGGTGATCTGTTCATCCTAGAGCAGTAAAGTAAAAAACTAACCCAGACCCAAAATATACAACTGGTACAGCTCATGCTGCCAAGCCTAGAACTGTTGGAAAATAAGAGATTAAGTATTTTTTACCTTCTTAACAAAAGGTGAGCAGATCGCAACATTCACAGCACTGAGAACCTTAAGTGCACCAGGATTCAGTTTTCCCGCCAGTGAGACACAACTGGTATGTGCTGGTCCTGTACCTCCTCAGCATAACCTTGGACTAACCCAACCACCTGAATGCTACTTTGTCTTCTCTTTGGGCTAATTCCAGTGAACACCTCACAAAAACCTCTTCAGCATGAAGGCTCAACCTAAACAACATGCATCATGTTCCTGCAGTTCACAGAAGCTGGCTGTCCACAGAAAGCCATCTTCATTAATTACTCCATCCACCAGACCAGGAAGTTTCCTTGTGGTGACATGGCATTTCAAGCAGTGCAAAGGTGATCTCTAGGGCTTCTCTGAATAAATAAAAAACCTCTTTCACAACTAGATCAAAAGTTCAATTGGATTAAGAGCAAAAAAAAACCCAGAACCATAATGAAAACAGGACTCACACTGCTATCTGGTGGTGTACAGTGTGACCACACAAATTCGTAACATATTACTCTTTGAGGTAAAGCAGAAACATACTGCAACTCAAGCAATTGTAAATATTTTTCCATAGTAAATTCTTTTACTGTTTTACCTACCCAATTTACCAAAGGGAATTTCCACTCACAAAATAAGTATTTATTTGGGTTTTTTTGGCTTGATTGAAGAAGGTCCTTGGCACAGCAGAACCATTCCTGAAGCTTAATTCCAAATGTGAGCATTACAATCAAAAGTCTCAAAGACATTAAAAGGAGCACTCATTTTCTCTCAACTACTGCAAGCATTTTCTATGAGTATTTTCTAGATAATTTTAGTAAATACAGTAGCTGATGCATAGAACAAACAAGTTTTCTTTTAAAAACTACAGATACTGAGCACAAGTGAGAGCCATTAAAACATAAACCACACACAGATCAAGTAATCACAGAGATTCCTGCATTCAGTGCAAAGACACAGATGAGTGGACCTACACTACAGAGGCCTTTAAGAAGTCACACTGTTGTAAATTTATTTTAAAATTTCAGGTTCTGATGAAGACTCAAGGTACTCCATCAGACAATTTTCACTGAGCATGTATTTTTCTTAACCACACACAGCAGGCCATGAAAGCAGGATATTTTGACAATACATTACCAAGTTGCAGCACAGACACTCCACAAAAAAGTATAACCTGCTATTAGGATAAGAAGCAACAGAAAAAAAAAATATATATAAAAAATCTGCAGACAGACAGCTAACTTTAGGCTGAAGAAATCAAACAAAAGGCTTACAATGCTCTGCAGCTGCAAACCTCTAATATTTCACAGATTGTCAAGGTCTGTAAGAAGCCAACTGCAAGAGTGTGGAGCATGAAGTTATGATTTACATCAGCCTAATGATCAGAATAACTAGGTGAGCAGAATAGGCATATTTGAAAATGCCAGTGAACTACAAGGGAGCAAGAATCCTGCCCCAGATTTTAAGGAGCTGTAAATTTAATGTGTCAGAGGTAGAACCAGATGACAGCCAAAAATATTTATAAACTTTGATTGGGTAACTGATGAGTAAACAAAAGTGCAATATGATTCTAGTTTCAAATTATTTTCCACAGAACCCACCCAGACATTAAGAAACACTAGGCATGTAAAATACTGGGTCTGCACTAATGGAGGGATAAAAGTATCAGTGACATTCATGATATTGTGCCCAGCTTTCAGAAATGCTGAGTACCCATACCTCCTACTGACTTCATATGACATGAAGAATTATTCAGCACTTCAAGGAAAAAAAAAAACAGCAAGTTAAGGAAACTGAAGTCACAGAGAAACCAAGCTTTCTTGTATAACAGGCCTTCCTTTTTTTTTTGTTCTACTGCAACTCAGTGTCTGCATTCCTCTTCTCTGTCATCTCCCCAGATACTCATCTGAGATATTAGACACTGTACTTCTCTCTCCTCTCACCCCAGGGACTAGGGAGCAAAGTGGGCAATGATCCTGCTCCAGCTATCCAAAGGAACATCATATGTTTATTATCTCATCTTTCAACCTACAACCAATAGGTTTTTACTAAAAATTAGATTTTTCTCAGATCTAGTTTATTACTTCTTAAAGAAAAAAATGTCACAGAAAGAACTAGAACAACAAAACAATCACATTGTACCCAACTCACTGGAAGTTCTATTAACACAAACAACCATGATGTCAAAATCGTTATGGGTGTAATTCTTAATTAACTTAAACCTAAAAATATGTAACTGATGTAAATAATCTTTTGACTAGAAAATGGGATACAAGAAACTTGCAGACCTAAAACCAGGTACTAGGAACTTTAGTGGGACAACTGCCCAAGAAGCTTGGCCATACTGCATGAATCAGCTGAAAATGTGTCCTTTAGCTGAACTTGACTAATTACAATATGAAAACCACATCTCCAGAAGTTAAGATACTGGCTTCTGCTTGAAAACCCTCCCCCACTCTGAGTTACTGACTTGAACACCAGGTAAACCAACCCCATTTTGGGACAACAAACAAAGAGGGTCTCCAGATTAATCAATGTGAACCTTATTTCAGTTCCTTCCTGTTTAGCATCCCCCAACATTCCTGAAAATGCAAGAGCTGTTTTATCTTCTGGGCTCACTGTTCCACTTGAAGAACACAACCTGAGATGTTCACACAAGGTATTCTAACCAGTATACCATATATATATATACACCATATATTCTAACCTGGCCCACAACTGAGCTGTCCTCACTGCTCCTTACAACCTTCTGTTGAGTTAAAGGAGTACTCTCCAGTAAGCATCCCCAAAATATGAAAGTACATAGAACAACAAGCACCTACAGGACAAATTCCAAAGCCACAAAGAGATGAAGACATAGATT